TCTTTAAACATAACATCAGATAACATCTTATTGTGATCTTTAGAATTTTCATTGGGTTTGAACCTCAAGGTAAGTTCAAACCGTCCAGGTGCTCCTCAGTAAACGCTATACAGGGCCATTATGAGTCAGAACTGACTTGACAGCATTTAACAACAGCAACAATTTTTGGGAGTAGCTCATCAAGCCTTTCTTCATTGTCTTAGTCTGGAAGCTTCACCGAAACCTGTCCACCATGAATGTCCCTTTTGGTGGCATAGCTTTGAGCATTGTAGGAACAAGCAAGCCACCATAATAAAACAAATTGACAGACAGGTAGTGACATCCTTTAGCAGACTGTTCAAACAATCCTGTGTCCTTTCTCAACTTTGGCATGCAGTTTTAATGACCCCTTCCATTTATAGACCTAATATAATGTTTTTATTTTGTATCATACATTATATTTTCCTCATAAGATGGTGAACTCCTAGGGGGCACAAATCAAGGCACTTCCAATATATGTCCATGGGACCTGATAAGAACATGTATCTCTTTTCTAATACTTTGGTACTTTCTTTGCATTTCCTAGGCAATTTAACAGAAAAACTGTTGTTAGAAAATGGAATTAAGTTCCTATCTTGTACTTTTTTTTACTGTTTACTCTTGGATAAATAGCCTCACATTTCTGAGCCTCAGATATTTTATCTAAAACAGAAGGAGACACACTACTCACCCCTTAAGTTATTTTAGCAACAAACTAAGATCATAAAACAAACTAGGTAAAATGTAAGATGGAAAATAAAATCTTATTATTACTGGCTAAGATCTATTGGATAATTGGAGTCTGCACTAAATGAACCAGGTATGAATATAGAGACAGTAAGCAGACACTAAGCATGTTCTATCATTGAGGAATTGTCTTTATATACCAAAACACAAAGAAAGATCAATGTTTTCAACAGTTTTAAATACTTTTTAGACTTCACAAAACTTCTAAACCATGGCTATGACTTTTTCTTTTGAAGAGGGGAGAGGATGGTAGGAAGTGGGGCAAGAGTAGAGAGAGGGCTAAGAATGTGCCTAAAGTTACATCAAATTTACTGGATGATTAGTTAATTTTGATTCAGGTTTCTTGCGTGAAAATAGGGGTTAAGTAATAGAAAAACTACATAAAAAGGGTCATGTTTGTATGAATTTCAACTCTGGGAGCCTCAGCCTCCCCTTTCAATAGGAAATGAGCTCCTTGAAGACAGACTATGTCTTGTTTCTCCCTGTTCTCTTAGTACAGTATAACATTCTTGGATAATAGCAGTATAAGCCTTAATGATATTTATTGACAATATGTATGATGCTTCATTTTATTAATTTAAAGTTCTGAAAGGCATAAGTGTATAAATGAAAGTGTTAGTAAAGATGGATTAACAATCCTCCCAAATATAATATTTAACAGGTAGAGAATACATCACCAACAGCCAACAGAGTGGTGGAACTCTTTGCTTCATGTTGCAAAGGTGTTAAGCATAATGTAGTAAAGTTTGAAACAACTTCACAGAACTACATAATTTATTAACCCCGTGACCAGACAGAAATTATTTCCCTGGACTTAATATTTCAATCTATAATATAAAGATCTATCTAATCAGATTTTGATGAGGACTGAATACAAACATGAAAAACACATTGTCCGTCACCTACCATACAGTGGGTCTTCATAAATGTTCATTTTCTCCCTTTGTCCCTTCCACAGTATCTAGCACAAGGTCCATGTATAGAACATACTCAATAACTTGTTGCCTGATCATGTGTGTCTTAACATTTCTGACACATAGCATATTTATGCACCCACATATTTTATATCTCATGAGACTCCCTATTCCAATGAAGTTTCAAATTGTTTCCTAATTTCCTATACACACAAATATATCTTAGGAAAATATGGATGGAAAAAAAAAAAGGTTTTTGTAAGCATAGTGTGTTCATTTAAAGCAGGGTCACATAAAACTGTATTCTTGATTTGTACCTGATTCTCAGAACTCAAAGCATATGATGGCCTGTTTCATTTCATCTCCTTTATCTTTTGTTAGAGCAACAGACCTACCCTGGAAATCCCATCACATAATCCGCTATAATTGGCTTGCAAAACCCTTTCACATAAATCACTGAAATTGTCAGGAAAATAATTAACGTTTGGTTTTTAATTTCCATTAAGTTGGTTCCAACACAAAGTGAACCTGTATAGGGTATCTGAGGAGCAATTTGTGGGTTTGAACTGCCAAACTTGCAATTACCAAACCAGTGCGTATCCTATAGCACCACACCAGGACCCCATGTGAACATGTACCTGAATTCAGCTAAATCTTCAGTAACACAAAAACTGATTCTTTACTTTTACATAAAAAAGGGTCTTAATTCATTGCAAAGCAAACATTTTTACTTACAAGAGAAATTAAATATTGTGAATCAGTGCTTGACATTTCACATACTGAGAACACCAAATGAATATTTGTTAAGTGCCATCAAGTTAGTTCCAACTCGCACTGAACACTGTATAGGGTTTCTGAAGAGTGACTGGTGGCTTTGAACTGCCAACCTTGCCGATAGCAGTCAAGTGCATATCCTAGAGCTCTACCAGGGTGCCCAAATTAAACATAGGGACAAGAATTTAAGCCAAAGGGTAAGATGTGTTTCCATCACAGTGATTCCAACACTTGATTATAGCACAGCGTTTTTCAGTCACTGGATTTAGGATGACTGTAGCACTGTGGGTTAATGCGCCAGACTGCAAAGCCATTTGAACTGCAAGGTCAGTGGTTCAAGCTCACCAGCTGCTCCTTGGAAACCCTATACAGGGTCGCTATGGATCAGAATCATCTCGACGGCACTTGACAACAATAATAGTATACTCTTTGGAGTAATAGCCAAGTGTGCCATTTACATAGTTAATACAACTGGATGTATTTGCCCTCTTATTCTTAACCATCTCTGATGTAAGCTGGCTATTACTATTAGCCATAATCATACTGAAAACATGTTTGCTCAAGTATTAAGTTATGAACTGAATTCTTTTGGACAAAATAAAGGTATGAGCAATCCAGGCCACTCTGACTGCCATTGCATTTATGTTGGGAATCCATACTTAATAACTGATGGCAGTTATGAGTCAGTACCAATAATACTGGAGGGAGGTCAAAATAGCAGAGCTAATATCACCTCTAAAATTAGTGAATTATTGAAGGAGGTGCTTGTCCAAAATCTCCATTTTTATGGAATAAAATAGACTGAAAACCAACCACACTGTTCCCACATCTCCCAAGCTCCTGGTGAGCCAAGAAAATGCTGGCAAAGGTAGGATCTGGAATGCTATAGGACCATTGCTAAACTATATTCTTTAAAAACATAGTTTTCCTTGTATAGGTTTTTCCTACTTATGCCTCCTCATCTCCTCCCCTCTCTAAGCATGCATAGGTTTTGATTCCTTTCCTCTCACATCACTATATTGTTGTTGTTTAGGGTTATGGAGTTGGTTCTGACTCAAAGTGATTCTGTATAGGGTTTCTGAGGAGCTGCTGGTGGATTTGAACTGTCAAACTTGTGGTTCAAATTAACATTGCAGTTGAATACTTATTTTACAGAACATCACTATAGTACAGAGATAAAAAGAAATCTTTTTAATAATTGCTCACTCAATCATAGTCTCAAGGCTGCTTTATGTTCCCTTCCTGGGAGAGATGACTCATTTTTTTTCTCTCTCTCTCTCCCTGGCAAGTATTTAGTGGCTGACCTCAGTCAGACCTTTCTGTGTCTTTCTGCCTTTTTTGGGCATTAAGAGGGTTCATTTGAAATCTCTTGTAATTTTTCTGGCCATTCACCTTTGTTGTCCCCTAAAACCACACTCCTCTTCCCCTTTCCCTTATTATTTCACTATTTTGCTACTTGTGCATCCATTGCCAAAGTCATCAGTTTCCTGGTTTCCTATGTCAAGAATTTCGGCCTCAACTTTCAATGGCACTGTCAAGCATTAATGCAATGGATTCTGACACTTAGATTCTGTCCATGATAACTAATTTTTTTTTTTTTTTCTATCTTGGGCATTCCCAAAGACGTATACCCAGAGTCAGGAGGAATCTTTATATACAAAGTTATAATTATCTATTTCTTTAGTGTGGATAGTCATAGTCCCAGACTACCCAACTTAATAAACCTCAACCACTACTATATTTCCGTTTCTTGAATTGCTGTATTGGGTGTTTCAAGTCCATCAAGAATCCTAACCACTGACAATTTCTTTTCTTTATATACCGAAACAAATTTAGAAGTCTTCACCTCTAGTACAACCTCATCTTCCTTTAATCTTATAGCATCTCCCTTCCATTCAGTCAGCTACTAAAGTTTGGTTTAATTCCTCTGTACAGGTCCTATAATGAATACCATTCTTTAGACTGCTGTCCCTTTCAAAAACCAACTTTTCTTTTGACATTCAAAGTCCACACATGCTCAATGGGACCACAGAAAGGAAAGGAGACAGGAAGCTTTCCAATCAAAGAAACAAACACAGTAATCAGCACTGGTAACTCAGCCCTTACATCTGTATTTGTGTATGCTTGCTTCTTTGAATATTTATAGTTCTTTTTTCTTTACGTGAATATTTTAAGGATAGGAATAAGTTTTGTTAATACCATGACTAGTTATTAAAGAGCATGTTGTTATTATAATTTTAAAGACAGATAAACTAAGAGTAAATATTGCCAAGCCTAAAATCAAAAGGAAAAATGATCTTTTTAAAGTTCTATATCATGGCTGATTGTCTCTCCATTCTCCTGACTCATCACCATCCCTTTATTAGCCTCTCTACACTTTTAGATATCCTGGCAGATGCTCAATGTTTAACTGCTACAGTAACTGCTGCCAGTATTAACATTACCTTTATATATTCTCTCTCTCTTTATGTGTGTGTGTGTGTATATATATATAAAGTTGCCTCATACCCCATCCCTCCTTCCGCAGAATTTGGTATTAAAACTTACCGCTTTTACCAACTCCCCCTGCTCCCAGCATCACCACCTTGTACTCTCTGGACCCTCCTGATGCTCCCGCAGAGCAGCTGGCTTCATTTTCTACCTCCATTTTACCCACGGGACTGAAAAAAGGAAAAAGTCATCCGTGTCAGGTGCTTGCTCGGATATTAAACAACTCTAAAACTGTGTCAAAAGAAAGGTTTAGTACGCGGTAAGAACCATCAGCGGAGGGCAGACTGCTGGTCCTCTGCTGAATTGCGTCTCATAGCAACCACTTCAATTGCTTCCAATAAAAATCTAGCTTTTACATTCCCCACCTCCTTCTGAATCTTCAGTCTTTCACGTCTCCCACGGATTTCCCTCTCTCTCTTTTTCTGTCCTCCTCTGTTTCTTTCCTCCCTTTTTCCTTCCTCTCCTTCTATTCCCTTTCTTTTTCTTGCCATCACCCCCTCCTTCTCTCAGCCCCACCCCCTCCGTTGTAATTGTTAGAGGCTCACATACATACTTGGCTATCTTCCAGGCTGGGCTGCTAGAACGGAGGGAATCTGAAATTTAGTGGAAGGCACTATAGTTACAGGCAGACTTCTACAGTTACAGCTTCAGTCACTGTGTTTTATTGTGTGTGTGTGTTTTTGTTGTTGTTGTTGTTGTTGTTGTTGTCATTGTTTCGTTTATTCTAATTAGAGACAATTCATTCAGAAATATTTTTGTTGCTCTTTATTGTGGTCATCCTGCACAGTTCTTATTCTGTAAATGAATTATAAAGGGAGGTTGCTGATTGAGAAGGAGAAAAATAAAGATAAGAACTGAAACCTACTTCTCTTATTTAGTGTTGTTTAGCTGGTACCTAGCTAACAGGAATTACTTCAGCTTACTCAGCAGTTGTAAATCTACCATGAGAAGGTATTTTAATTGGGTCATTGACATGTTAGGACATGAATCATCCATGTTTGCACTGCTATTATGTGCTGTTGAGTCAGTTCTAATTCATAGTGACCCTGTAGAGGGTTTTCAAGGAGCAGTTGGTAGATTTGAACTGCTAACCTTGTGGTTAGCAGTCCAGTACTGATTATTAGAACCAACCTAAAACACAAGTATCATGACAAGCATCAAAGACATGCACAGTATATTACTGATAATTGTGACAACATAAAATATTATAGTTTTTTTTAATATTCAAGTTTCAACTTATTTATATTCTTTCACATCTTTGTGATCTTTGTTGTAATCTGAAAATCTTCTCAACTATGGAAGTCTTAGAAGGATCTCAGTATTCCCAAATTATTGTTGTCAGACCCCATCTTTCAAATAAGAAGACGGTGGTCCGTGTGCTTATTTTCTATTTGCTAGTCACACAACTTGGACTATGATTAGGTGTTGTCAAGTATTTGGTATACAGAAGCTTGTCTCTAGATTTTAAGCTTCTGTAAGAAAGGAATTACATTTAATCAAGTCATTATGATTCTATAGTGTAGGACCAAATTGCCATACATAGAGTACATTCTCTGTACATATTGAATGATTAAGTTAGAGGCAGTAAAATCTCATAGCCAGCATAATGGATTGCTTGTGTTTAAGTATGGGCTCAGCCCTTACTAGCTGTGTGATGTTGAGCAAATTACTTTACTTCTCTGGGCCTCATTTTTCATTTTTAAAATGGTTTATTAACCCCCTACTTAACTAGCCATTAAGTGAGTTAATATTTATACAGTGCATAAAATAGTATCTGACAAGTGGTAAACACTACATAAGGATATGTTATTATGATAATTGCTTTACTATTTTGTATCAGTGTTGCTCCCAGTTCACTGTTTATAAGCACTCATCAGTAGAGAAGAGGCTCTTTCCATGTGTAATAAACAATAAGGTTATCTGTGTACCCTCATTGGAGTATCTGCTTAAATTTTATTTTTACCTAATTTGTCAATTTTCAAATCAAATTGCTTTCTTATTACTGCGTATGAAACTTCCTTATACATTAGAGATGAAAGCTTTTTATCAGAGATGCATCCTGTAAATATTTCCCCTGATCTATGACTTACAATTTTCTTAACCATTCCATTCAAAGAACAGGACCTTTTAACTTAGATGGAATCCAATGTCATTATTTTTTAATGGATCATTCATCAGATATTTAGACAAAACTTTTTCTCAAATCTCTTCTCATCTCTCTTCAATTCTCCCTTACAAATTCACTCACTTTCGTAACATGTTGATGACATTTCTGTGGGTAATTGCTATGTCTAGTCTTTAGACTCAATATTCACTCTGAGCTGCAGAAGTGAACAGAACTTCTTTCAAGATGATCCCACTGAAAACACTCAATTTCAACATTTCCAGAAAGATTTCTCTCTCATCCTCAATAAACAATGACAACAGGTGCTCTGTCTTCACAGGTTGAGTTTTCACCCTCAATGTTCTGGATTCTGTTCAGTCTTATCTATGATTTGTTCTCCTTATCTAAAGCAGTTTCATTCTCCCTGAGTTCAAGCACTTTTCCCTTCTTTCTCCTTCACACTCTGTTCAATTCATCCTATATACTGATATATACTGATATCTACCTATAGTGTTGAAGGAGCTCTGGTAGCGTAGTGGTTACGAATCGGGCTGCGAACCTTAAGGTCAGCGGTTCGAAACTACCAGCCGCTCCGCGGGAGAAAGATGAGGCTTTCTACTCCCGTAAAGATTTACACCCTCGGAAACCCTGTACAGGGTCTCTATGGGTCGGAACCGACTCGACGGCACTTAACAACAACAACAACAACCTATAGTGTTGACCAGACTGACCTCTTTGCTCACATATTCACATATGCCTACAGAATATAACTCAATATCTTAGATTAGCACATTGGGTGTCAAAGCATTTATTTCATTTTTATGTTCTTATATACCACACACACCTCATAAAGTAGATGAGGTGAAATGAGTTTCTACTCCAATAAAACTATTTCCATAATTGGATCTAATTTTGTAAGAAAAAAACGGTGGTTGTTGTTAAGTGCAGTTGAGTTGGTTTCAACTCATAATGACCTTGTATAGGGTTTCCAAGTCTTGGCTGGTGAGCTTGAACTGCCAACCTTGCAGTGCAAACCAGACTTGTAGGTCCAGCACATTAACCTGAAGACCCAATATAATTATCCTTTAATTGACTACTTGGAACTTCATTTCTCAGTAAGATGACATATGTAAACAATAACATTTAGCTTCAAGGACTTTGAGTTTTCTTTCTATTGCCAATGCTGAAATTCTTATGACCTTGAGCAACTCACTTGCTTCTGTAGTTACTGGTCCCACCATCTGCTCTTCTGTTTTCAGTGTCAGCAATTCTGCTTTGTTGGTACAGCATGAGTATCAGCCTGAGGGTTGTCCTTGGCTCGATCCTTTATCTGGCATGCTTTGTTTTAGTGCTTTTTAAGAGAAATGGCCACATCAAAATGTCCCTTTGTAATCAATAAATTAATAACTTGACAAATATCATTGGACAGTGTAATGGGTAAATTTAGCTAATGCACTGGGTTTCTTCTCAATAGTTAATGCATCTGTCCACATTACTCTTGTGGAAGTCGGATTTTGTTATTGTTTTCTTTTTATGCTGAAGGAGAAAAGCAGGGAGGAAGGTTACAAAGTCCTCTTAATCTAAGTCTTGGAAATTCTAAAGCACTGAACCGTAGTCACTTTCCTCGAGATTTAAAGGGGCATAGAATCTCCTGTGGGATAATCGAATAATAATTGTGGAGGATGCTAGTGCTACTGGTTTAGCAGTTTATTGGTAAACTTTTGTGTATTTGCATGCCATGTGCCTTGACTATAACACCCAAGAATGATGTGAGTGTGTGTGTGTGTGTATGTGTGTGAGTGAGAGGGAGAGAGAGAGAAGTAGAGCGAGAAAGAGATCGAAAGACAGACATTCAAGAGGTCCCAGGTGTATAAATGCTGATTGAGATGGAACATTTAAGTAACCCAAATCATTACATGGCAGATTGCTTTGCTCTCAGGAATATTATTAAATGATCAGAGTATGCACTTGCTTTCTCTAACCTACCCTAGCTGTGGCAATCCTTTTTGGATGCACATTATTACCTCTGAGTGCTCATCTCCATCCGTTGAAGACCCAGGTGTTCAGCATCCATTCAGAGCCACTTGGCTCCCTGAACAGGATGCAAGTGCACTCATCTCATGAAATTCATCATTGGCGGCTTCTGTCTGCTGCTCCTTCTCTCCATTGCTTCCTAGAGGACAAAAAGGGAAACTAATTTTATCAAGCCATTCCCTAAAACAGAATTTAATGTATTAATTTTATTTAAATTGATATTTTTCTAAACTTTTTTAGGAATGGCTAAACCATCTATTCACTATGACAAATCTGTAGGGGAGAAGTCTAGAGCATCAGGAGGTTTTTCATAAATCACTGACATTCACTTATCTGCAAAGCCACTCTTTCTTTTAGTAAAACATGTGTTAAATTTATGACAATTACTTATTGACATTCCAGTCCTCTTTATTTACCTTGACATTGTTAAAAGACTATAGGCTTTATATCTTTTAAGCTTAATGTAGTATGGACATATACTAAAGGTACTTAGATATCTTTTGTTAAATGAGGGAACTAATTATATCAGAAAGTAACTATCTATGAGAATAACTTTCAAAGTGTGTAATTTGCTACTGAAGGAATAGGATGGATAGCAGTTTAGCCAGCAATCTCTAGGCAAATGAATGTTGGCTGTGTATTTTCTCACCATGAAATGTAAATCGCTAGAAACCAATGCCATTTGGTAGAAAATAAAACAATTGCTCAGGACAAATTAAACTGGAAACATCAAAGCCAAAGGATGAAATTGTTGTTGTTCTGTGCTATCGAGTCAGTTCTAAACCATGGCACAACAGAACAAAACACTGCCAGATCTTCACCATCCTCACAACTGTTGTTATGTTTGAGCCTATTGTTACTATGGTGTCACTCCATCTCACTGGTGGGGGTGGGGCGGGGAGTCTTCTTTTTCACTGAACTTCCACTTTTCAAAGCATGATGCCCTTCTCCAGGGACTGGTCCCCTCTGACATATCCAAAGGATGAAAGATGAAGTCTCCCCATCCTGGTTTCTAAGGA